AAGAGTTTGGTCCAGAGTATTACAAATTGATGCTCCCCACTCCCTCCATGTTGGGGACCTGCCCTGCCAGCCTCCAGCCCAGAGCAGATGTTCAGCCCAACATTTGGAAGTGCTCAATGACCAACGCTCACATGCAGCTTCTGACACCTCCAGACCTGGCCCTCTTCCTTTGCAGCTGACACCCACGCTTGGTCAGGGGGTGGCTCTTGGCCCCGAGACCACAGCTGTAATTCCACAGAGCCCTTTAGAACGCCCACCTCTGGAGGGCTGAGCACTCTGGGTCTTGCACAGGGCTGTGATAACAAAGAGCTGCTGCTCAGGTCACTGGAGCTGCAAGAGAAGTTGCCATTTCATATGCAGGAGGGAAGGGGGCCAGGAGGACCAGAAAAGAAGCCAGCACATCTGTGTCTTGCAGAGTATTCCTGGGGCTGCGGCTCTTGGGGAGTCCACCCTGTACAGGTACCATCTCCAACAGCTACTGCCTCCTGGGCAGAGCTGTCCATCACATGTGGCTCCTCTCACTGTCCTAGAGCTCTGCCAGCTGTGTAGCAGCCCTCCTCAGCCAGAAACTGGGAACTGGTCTGCTTCCTGCTGCCTCAGAAACATCTCCCTGGGGCCCATGGAGGGCAGGGCACAAGCAGAGAGGCAGAGGGAGTGATGCTGAGGACAGCAATGCCACTATAGTGTGCAGGGAATGACCATGAACAAGAGGGCTTGACACTGCCCCTTCCCAACACCCATGAGGGACAGAAGATAAAGATGGAAGCAGAGGTCCAGCCCAGAACAGGCAGAGGAGTCAGAGCGGGTGGGAGATGGATGTTTCCCACCATGTCCCTGGAGCTATATCCAGGCGATGAGGCCCACTCCCCTGGCAGCTCCAGGAGGCCACATGGGACTGTAGAAGGCAGTAAACTCAACTTCTGTCACCTCTGAAAGAAACCACCCCCTTCAATCAACATGGCCATGGCTGTCTCACCCCCCTGGTGCCTCCCAGCAGCTGTCAGAGGATGATGGCTCCTCTGCCTCGCTGTGAGGATGTTGGCTTGGCCCATGCATGCACATGGGAGGAGCATGTGCTGCTCAATCTTCCCTGCAGGTCTTGGCCTCCTTGTTCCTTTAGCCAGTGTGGGATCAGCCCCCCTGCTCCTCCCGGTGAGGGTTGGTGCAGCATGGGTACTGGCAGGCTCCTTCCCTGCAGATGGCACTGGCTCTGGCCCTTCTCCCACTGGCTCTGGGAGCACCTGACCTGGCCATGCTCAAAACACAGGGATCTGGTCTCTGCGCACAGTGTCCAGGTCATCATCCAGGGTGAGCAGGACCTGGAAGGAAATGAACACACGGCTCCTGGGTGAGCATCACCACACACAGCCAGTGGTGTGTCTCACAGTGCTCCCTCCACAAACCAGAGAGGAGGAGGCAGGAGAGCAGAGATGGATGGGCAGCACAGGGACCACATCTGTGCGGCAGTCTGAGCTGAACCAGGAGTCCCCCTGCCTCCTTTTCTCTAGCAAGCTACAGCAACAGCAGAAGCACAGCACAGGCAGCAGGGCTGTCAGCCATGCCCAGGCACTTCCTACAGCCTGCAGTGCTGTGGCTTCAGCAGGGTCCTGCTGATTCCAGGGAGCAGCAGCAGGGGAGCTGGCTGTGCCACTGCCCTGGCTGTCTGACCAGAGGGCTTCTCTGCCCAGAGCTGATGGCAGCTCTGGTGCCCCTCCCCTCCCCATGAAGACACAGGGAGCGTAACATGAGAGAGGAGGAAAAGGAAGATAAAGCTGAGTTCTGCTGGGACAGGGCAGGAACCAAAACCCCTGACTCCTACTGATACACCTTTCTGAGAGAGCCCACGTGCGGGG